GCATATATTATATGTGTTCACATGGTGGCATACATGTAACCACGTTTGTAGTTCCTTGCATCTCTACTTTCGATATGTTATGTTAAGGGAAGAATCAAGCACCAAAAGACCTTGAAAGAATATACGGAGATGCTAGTGTCCGGACATCTGGACGCATGTCCACATCCGGATGCCCGTGCCCGTTGGTCCGTTTCCCACGCCTGCTCGTTTTGCGCGCCCAGGCGGGGGGCCACATCGCCCGGACGTCTCCCGCGCCGCTCGACCACACGTGGGTGCCCGCTCGGCGGCGCCCCAACAGCTGCGGTAGGTGGGTCTCATTCAACATGTGCAACATCCGATCTACTTTTGCAATATCCAGATGAAACACTTGCAATATATGTCCGAAACAACTGAAACACTTGCAACATACGTATGAAACACTTGCAAAACACTAGAAAAAACTTGAAAGCATGTGTGTAGCCATTGCAAAACATCGCAACATCAAGATGAAAACACTTGCAACAAACATATGAAAACACCCGAAACACTTGCATATATATGCAACATTCAAATCTACTTTTACAATATCCAGATGAAACACTTTCAGCATATGTCTAAAACAGGTGAAACATTAGGAACATACACTTGAAATATAAGTGTATAGCCATTGCAACATGTGCAACATCTCGATATACTTTTGCAACATCCACATAAAACACTTGCAGCGTACCTTTAAAACATATGAAACATTTGAAAGATACATTATTGGCAACATCCGACGTATCCTGATGCGGCCTTCTCCGCTGCCTGTAGCGGGGCGTCGCAGTCGTTGCAGGAGCGCGAGGCCGGAGGGGTTCCACGCCAGGGCCCGACGCTTCTCCTTGCACCGGTGGCACCTGTCGGTGTTGTTGGGCGCGAGCGCGCACGCGACGGCCTCGGTGGCCAACTGGCGGTCGAGGAAGCGGTCCCAACGCATGGGCGTGGCGGTGCCCATGCCGTTAGGCGGGGCGGGCTACGGAGCAGGAGTAGCGACAAGGGAGGTCCGGCGGACATGGGGGCTTGAGCGGTGGAGGTGGCAACGGTGGTGTTTTTGGGAAGGAAAAGGAAGGGAACGCCATGAACGATGGACGAAGTAGAGCAGGGGAAGTCTTCTTTTCCTATCCTTATCTAGCCGACGCAATGGAAGGGACGGACGTGGGCACGATAATAAGAAAATAGAAGCCAAGCCATGCGGTGCAATTGCAGGCCCAGGAAGGTCCATCCGGACGGATGGACGCCCTACACACAGCATTACCGAAGAATATATGTATGTGGATGTCCTTACTCTTACAAATTCCAATCTCTCGCAAAAATGTCATGTGTGCTAGTTACTCGTATTGATAGATACTTTCTCCGTTCCAAATGATAAGATGTTTTAGCTTTTCCTAGATACATTGTTTTTACTATGCATCTAAAAGAACAAAATATTTTATAATTTGGAATGGAGCAAGTAAATGATAGGCAAATGATTATCTAGAGGGGTGAAACATGTATCCAAAGTACAACGCCCGATTGGACTTGGAGGGCTCAGTATTCATGATTTTGAGATCATGGGCTGGGCTCTACAGATGAGATGGCATGCAGTGGTTTAGAAAAAATGGGCAAATCATCCCTGGGTGGATTTAGAGCTGTCTTGCCATGCTAACACTTTGGCTTTAGTCTCTATTGCCATGACATCTCAAGTGGGTAATGGGGACAACACTTTGTTTTGGACAAATCATTGGCTTCAAGGAGTGTTCTATTGGTGATTTGGCACCTACAATTGTAGCAAGTGTGCAGCCCCGTCTTAAAAACAAGCGCATTGTAGCTCAAGCCTTGGAGAATAATACCTGGATGAATGATATCCAGGGGGTCTAACTATGATTTGTTTCATGGAGTTCTTCAGGCTATTTGATTGTCTTAGTGAGGTTAGGCTGTCTGAAGGGGGGGATCAACATGTTCGGAAATTTGATGATTCAAGAGATTACACAGCTAAATCGGCATACAAAGCGTATTTCGATGGTTAGTGACTTTTGAACCTTGGTGCCAAATCTGGAAATCATGGACCCCAGGAAAGTGTAAGTTTTTTATCTGGCTTGTTGTTCTGGACAACATATTGCCTTGCTTGCGGAGGATTGGCTTGTTCTTGTGGACAACAGATCGCCTTGTTCGCGGAGGATTGTCACACCCAAAGAGGTGTCATTTGTGTGATCAAAAGGAGGAGACGGTTCAACATTTGCTTACTGGTTGTCTGTTCACACGACAAGTTTGGTTCAATATTTTGTCGCCTTTGGTTTGGGAGGTGCAGCTCCTGGACACAATGATCTATGTGTTTGTTGTTTGGTGGGCTAAGGTATTCTGCATGATCAGTAAGGAGTATAGGAAAGGAACAAATTCCCTCATCATTCTAACTGTGTGGTTGCTTTGGAAGCACCCTAATACCCGTGTCTTTAATGGAGACTCCCCTTTGTTAGCGAGTTTTTTAGACAATTTAGGGATGACTATATGCTCTGGTGCCTAACCGGAGCTAAGAAACTTCAAGCTCTCGAACTAGATAGGGTAGGTGATTTTGGGTGAGTCTTTTCCTTGTTGTTTGGTCGTTAAAAGTCTTTTTCAAATAATCGTGTTGTAAAGTGTCTCCAATGCTACGTGTCGTGCGTCTGATGAACCGCACAAACGTCGGACGGCTTTTTCACCCCCGCCGCTTGCTCCCCGCCCGCATGTATCTTAAAAAAAACTTATCCCTTCGCTTCCTCCTCCCAATCCTTAACCCTTCCGCGCTCCTCATCCCCTGCCACAGCGCACCAACGCCCGGCGTCCTCCCCCACCCCGGCGTCCTCACCGGGAGCCCCCAATGCCTATAGATCTAACGGCCCTCTCTCCACTCCGACGAGATCCATGGAGCACGAGCGAGATCCACTCGTCTGCGGCGAGATCCATGGAGGTGGCGCGGCGGTGTTGCAGGGGAGTGGGCGGCTCTCCCCCACCCCGGCGCGGCGCCCTCCTCACCCCGGCGGCGCCCTCTCTCACCCCGGCAACCGAGCTCCATCACCCTGGCGGCCATGGCACTCCCCGCCCCCCATCCTCCACCGTCGCAGCCGAGCCAAGCCCGGTGTCGTTGGCTCTGGTGCTGGTGGTGCTCGCGCGCGCCGCTGGTGCTGGTGATGGGTGGTGCTCGCGCGCAGCCGCTTGCCGCCGGTTCCCACTCCGTCGACCGGAATCGACTGGCCCAGGCCTCTCTCCCCCTATGTTGCAAATGTATGTTTCAATTGTTTTAGACGTTTCAAAGGCATGTTGTAATTGTTTCATATGGATGTTGCAAAAGTAGATGGGGGGATGTTGCAAGTGTTTCAGAGGCATGTTGCAAGCGTTTGTTCAAACTGTTCCATCTGTTTCCAGACGTATGTTGCAAACGTTTTGATCTGGATGTTGCATATGTTTTCACACATATGTTGCAACAGTATGTTCCAAAATGTTTCATCTGTTTCAGTCTTCTGTTGCAACAAGTGTTTTGATGTTGCAAGTTGCAAGTGTTCTATTTGGATGTTGCATATGTTTTCACACATATGTTGCAAGTGTATATTCCAGATGTTTTATCTGTTTCAGACGTATGTTGCATTCAAGTGTTTCGTGTTGCACGTATTTCCTGCTGTCCGAAGAGTCAAGGGGCGCCAGAGAATGGGACGCGGCGAGTCGGTGGCCGATGGACGTGGCATGCGGCGCGCTGGGGCCGACAGTCGGGGGGCACGACAGGGCGGGGGCGGGGTGCGCCTACGGGGGTGGGGCAAACGGATGGGGATGGGGGCGGAGGGGGGTGGATAGGGGCGGGTCAGGCGTTGGGGCGGGCTTGTCAAGCGGGCGGGCGGGCGTCCGATGGAATTCATCTCCATCGGACGTCCGTGCGCTAGCATTTCCCTATCGCAAATTGATTGCAACTTAAGAGTTACGGTGCCGGAAGGATTCTGTGATAACCATTCATAGCCGAATACAGCACAAAATGATATATGCAAACCACTCATTCGATTAAACTAGCATATATATCCTGGCCCTCATACAGAGTATATGCTAGTGTGGAACATGGTGTCGAGCATTCCAGAGAACAAATTCCATATTCAGCCAAAAGAATGTAATCTAATAAACCAGCCTTTGCCAACGGAAAATAAGCACACGTCTGAAAATCAAGACAAAAGGAGGTGGTTGATACTTGATAGTTTCTTCCTTTTGATCGCAGTGACCAGTGAGGACATGTTGCAGGATGTGGAAGCCCTCGTCGTGCAAGGCGATCAGCCATCCTGGTCCAACATCTAACATGTAACATGGATGACCAGCCACGAAAAGAATTAGCATTTAATTACCTGGAACATATTATGCTAGATATTTTGTGTGGCTTAAGGAAAAGAGAAAGGTAAAAGTTTTCACGGAAAAATCAATCGCTGGTATACTACATATCCACCAGAGCAAACCAAATATCTGCTCTGAATTGGATTGGCATAAACAGGAGTTCAAATACCCATTTATAGGACTACATATGTATAGTTACTAAGACGAAAGTTCATTGATGCTTAAGTGAACATATATGCTCTGAAGATGGGAGAGGAAAGAGTTTATTTCATACGAGCCTAAAGCTGAGCACAAAATGAGGAAACATTTAACATCTTCGAAGTGAGGTTCTGATTCTTCATTGTACAATTGTTACTAGGGTGTAAAGTTCAGCCTGTGAATAGTTTCAGAAATGAAGTTGAGAATCAGTTCCTTATCACTTCACCTTATGATAACTTCTGATAAGCAATCTGAATCTGTGAAGCAGTCAAGATTCTCAACAACTTGTTCATTTTTATCGTTTTTCCCAATAGAGAATACATGTACGAAAACATCACAGGTGCACATTAAGGGAGAATATTGTCTGTCTATATAAATGCATGCTCATCAGTACAGCTCTTCAAGCCAAGGGTGCACAGAAAACATTCTGTTTCAGTGTTTAGATCCATACAAGAACTAAAAAAATGGTTCATAGCCCTGTAGCATTCCTAAGAAAGCTCCAAATTTCCTCTTCATCTTTAGCCACCAAGTTGATTTCTTTTAGCAAATATGCACAAAAGTCCATGAAATACCCTTGGCAGTTCATCTGTCAAAATAATCCACTCTCCATCCAAGTCACTTATTTTACCTTGATTTCATTTGCTGGATATGCAGCTCTTAAGATCATCAAGCCACGAGATAAACAAGATGCTCTGAAAGACATAGACTTACTGTTTACTTCTGTATCTGCATCAACTGTCTCAAGCATGGCTACTGTTGAAATGGAGGATTTCTCAAGTGCTCAGCTCTGCGTATTGACTATTTTAATGCTGATCGGTGGAGAGGTATTCACTTCAATGCTTGATCTTTATTTCATGCGGGCTAAATCTGTTACAAAAGGGTCTTCCAACAGAAAGGGCTACTCAGTTTATGTTGATACCGAATCTACTACTTCTGCAACGTCTGTTCCCACCAGTGTAATAATGCCAGTGTCTGAACTCCGCTTGGAAGAAAAAAATCAAGTTGAGCCCAAGACAATTGAATCTTTAGGTTATGCACTGCTGGTCTATCTTCTAGTGTCAAATTTAGGCGGATCCCTGGTTATCTTCCTTTACCTTATATCCGTACCAGATGCACAAGGAGTTCTGAAGAGAAAGGGTATTGGATTTGTCATTTTCTCTGTATTTACAGCCGTCTCCTCAGTGGCAAATTGTGGCTTCACTCCAGTAAACGAGAACATGATCATCTTTCAGAAGAGATCCATTCTCCTATTGCTAATTATTCCTCAGATACTAGCTGGAAATACATTATTTGCCCCATGCTTGAGATTCCTGGTGTGGTCACTTAAGAAGGTAACTGGGCAAGATGAATATCATTTCATTCTTCAGCACCCGGAGACCATTGGATATAAGCATCTTATGAGTAGCAAGGAGTGTGTTTATTTGATGTCAACTGTTTTCAGCTTCATAATTACACAAACCATACTATTTTGCTCTCTAGAATGGAGCTCAGCGGCTTTACGGGAAATGAACAGCTATGAGAAGATAATAGGTGCTCTCTTCCAGTCTACTAATGCAAGGCATGCTGGCGAATATGTAGTTGATCTGTCAAGCCTTTCTTCCGCAATCCTAGTCTTGTATACTGTAATGATGTAAGTCTCTTCACTACTCTCACTCCACCAAAAGAGTCATAAGATTTTTTAGAATGAAAATAGTCATAATTAAAAAAATCCATAGATTGACTACCTCCACCAGAAAAATATTTAGTACAAATGACAGGCTTTGGAGCAGAAATCATCCTTGCTTTGCTTGCGTATACAAGTAGCAACGTAGCATAGTAAAGTTGTGAGTTTATGATTCTTACTATGTTCACGGATTACAAAACAAACTATATTTGTATTTAACTAAAACATATATCTCATGACTAGTATAGTGATGATAATATAGTATGGCTGTAACCTATCTGCCTATGGACACACCAGATAGCAAATAGTATTATTCAGAGACATTAAACTATTGTTATGATGAATACTTTTTTTGCGAGGATTGTTATGGTGAATACTTATTCATTTTTTCCGCCAACTCACTGTAGGTATCTCCCTGGTGAGACCTCGTTTTTACCCAAAGATGATGAGCAGCCTTCTAGAGCTGAGATAAAAGACAAAAGGAAAAGACTATTAGAGAATTGGATCTTCTCCCAGCTGTCTTATTTAGCTATCTTTGTAATGCTAATTTGCATTACTGAGAGGGAAGCAATGATCACAGATCCGCTCAATTTCAATGTATTCAGCATATTGTTTGAAGTTGTCAGGCAAGTCTCTGAAATCAAATGTAGTAGTCTTCAGATTGCGCTCGTGAAAATCATCACTAACTTCTGGTTCTTGTGACAAATTGTTGCATGCAGCGCATATGGGAATGTGGGTTTCTCTGTTGGTTACAGTTGCAAGAGGCTACTGAATCATGATGTCTACTGCAGGGACGCTTCGTATGGATTTGTTGGAAAATGGAGTGGCAAGGGGAAAGTAATTCTGATTATGGTCATGGTCTTTGGGAGGCTTAAAGCGTTCAATATGAAAGGAGGAAGAGCTTGGAGGCTTAGATAGTCTCAATCATTGAACGCTTTAAGCCTCCAAGCTCCTCCTCCTGTCATATTGATTGACACCACTCCATGTTATGTGGTGACTGGTGAGCCAGGTATACATAAAACAGCAGATCTGAAGAAGTCCGTGACCCTGCATAGCATAAGCTGGTGGCAAAGATGACAGGTGCTTTTCAGCAATGTCTCTCTGCCTTCCACAAATGCTATTCCCCCTTCGTGGTGTAGCACGAATGTCAATATCCAAGACAATCACTGGCGGAGCCAAGGGGGGGCTGGCAGGGGCCATGGCCCCCCCCCAATGTTTTACAACAACAAAAAATAGTAGTATGACTTAATATTTTTTATTTATATTAAGAGAAAGATTATATAAAATTCTTGTCATATATACCTATTAATATCTTCTAGATAATATAATTATACAAAACACAACTAGATAATAAAATTATCGCAATAAAAAAGACCGAGCCGGCCCCCCCTAAATATAATTCCTGACGGCCGGCCCCCCCGAGTATAAATCCTGGCTCCGCCACTGAAGACAATAACACTACAACAAGAGGCGTAGTCTGAACATCTGGAGTAGATCGATGCAGATCGATGAATATATTCTATCTCCATGGTCCATGTCCTCAGGCCGGTTGATACGTTCTCCACTCAAAATATAAATGCGCATCACCATGGTTGTCAATTACGATGATCCAGCATCACAGCACATTTCCCGGGCACAGGGGAATAGAGGAGAAACATTTTTTGCGCATTTAGGGGAAAAAAATCGACGACTCTCTCAAAACAACAAGCACCGTTTACCGTTACATGGGGCCGCTAGCGTCAGGCATCACACTAAAGATTAGATAAACTAGATCAATGTGGGCAATTAGCTCCCTCGCAGAAAACGTAGGGAGCGTATTCCGATTCCATCAATCATCATAGAAACGAGATGAATAGATGTTACTCAAACCAGAAGAGTGCACGGAACTTACACATACATATCGCGAGGCGGACGCCGCGGAGAACTCGCCTGCTAAGGCGAGTGCGTCGAGGAAGTCAGCATCGTCATGCACGGAGCGGGGGGAGGGGGAGGCGGGAGGCCGGATTGGGCGGACGCCGGCGAGTCGTCGCCGCGTCCTGACTCCTGAAGCCAAAAGGGTTTTTTTAGATAGAGGGGAAAAAAGCGAAAAGTTTTTTTAGTGGAAAACGCCGCCCGTATTTCTTGGTTTGCTTGGGCTGATCGGCTTCTCCAAGCGATGGGCTTTCCCTTCATTCAGGCCCGTTTTCCGTGCCATCTCCTGTCTCGCTCGCTGCTGTCAAACCTGCCATTGCCCATTGGCAATCCGCAGCCTGTTCGGTTGGTCGGTTCGTATCGTTGCTGGTTTGTGAAGAAATACTGCTGGCTGGGTTGTGTGAGAGAAAAATACTGTTTCGGCTAAAAATTTACGATCGTTTATGACAAGCTACAGACAAACAAACAGGCTGCCGGTTTCCGATCCATCGGGCTCCTGCAGACTGCTGAAAAGATACCGCTGAAGCTTGCGAGGAACACCGCGGTACGAGAATCGACAGTGAATCTGGAATGTTCCGTCGCAAACCGAGCCACACATCGCCAATGGTACTCCGTACATGGCAGAGAGTCCAAACCAAGGATAGGCAAAGCGTAAAGCCGCCGGCGCGTCCTCGTGCTCATGCACGCGCAGCTGCCTCTCGCCATCCATCCCTGCTAGTCGAGTTGGACCCGGTCTCCTGCCGTCCTGCGTCCAGTCATTGCCACGCATGGCCGCCGTGGTGCAGGAGCGAGAGAAGCCTTAACCAATAAACAAAGGGAGTTCCGCCGTTCCGGTGAGGTTAGTGGGGCGTGCGGCGCGGGCGCAGGGGAGGGAGAGGGAGACAGCGCGCGCAAGCGGACAACCGCCGCCAACTCGGCCAAGTGCGTCACCTGACTCGGACGTCCCGGTGGATCCCCTGCGCCCGCCGCCACGGCCGCGCGCAGCGGCGCAGGACGTGCAACACTTCGGGCGACCGGGCGTGCGGCAGCGGCCCACTGGGGCCTCAACACGTGTGCGCGCAGCAGAAGGCCCTCGCGCCTTGGCGCCGCAGAGGATCACGATACGCTGACGCGGACAGGGCTTTGCTTCTCCTTTCCGTGGGTGGCAGGCCACGCGCCGGTGAGGCACGTCCCGCCCCGGTCCCATCGGCCGACCGACGCGGCTGCCCCACGTCGCTGGGCCCGCCAGTCGGTGGAACGGACGGTGCGAGGTCCGGTAGCAGGAGGGGCGACGCCGACGTGTTGGCCGTTGCGCCCCCGGCCCGGGAGAGGTCGGTGCGGATCCGAATCAGCTGCCATTACTCAGCCTAGGCACATTCAAACCGAAAACCAAGAACCGAACCGAAACCGAACCGAATTGTCGGTTTTTCGGTTCGGTTTCGGTTTCTGGTTCTGGGAACTACGGTTATCGGCTCAGTGTTCGGTTTGTACGTGAAACGAAACCGAAGAACCGAGCAACCGAACGTCATTCATCAAACTTCCTCTCCTCTCGCGTCTCGCCAGAGCACCCCGCCCCAATTAACAGGCCCACTCGGCCACTCCAGTACTCCACCAGACCACCGCTTCGGCCCCGTCCCCAACGGCCCACGCGAGATGACTCGATGAGACAGACACCCAAGGGGGGAGCGGCCAGGAGTGAACTTGCCCCAAACCCTATCGGGAGAGAGCGGCGGCGGCGCGACGGCCACGCAAGCGGGGAGGGAGATGGGCAGCTGGGTGCGACTCGCCGACGAGCTGCGAGCGCCCGAGTGGAGCAGCGAGCTACGCGGGCGCTGCAGCGGCTGCGAGTGCCCTGCGCAAAAGCGGGAGTGCAGCGGCGACGAGCGCCCTGTGTCGGAGCGAGCGAGTGGCGACTGCGAGCGCCGGAGCTAGCGAGCGGCGCGGCGAGCAGGGAGAGGAGTTGCACGGCTGCGGCCGTGGCAGCAGGAGCCAGGAGAGGCACGGGAGCGACTTTGAGTGAGATCAGCGAGGAGCGGAGCAGGTCTGCTCGGAGACGGGCGGGGAGCGGTGAATCGACCAAGCGGCGGCGGCGAGCGACAAGCAGTGGTGGCGTCCGGTGAGTTGTAGCGGCGTCCAGCAAGCAGGGGCCTAGGCGTAGGCCGCTCAGCTCCTAGGATAGGCCAAGGCGCGGCAGCGGGCAGGGAGGCCACGCCTAGACGCGACGACGAGCAGGACTTGCAGCGGTGGCAACCAACGAACCAGATGCTAGGGTTAGTTCGGTTAAACCGAAAAACCGAGCCGAACAAACCGAAACCGAATACGTCGGTTTTCAGTTCTCTCACAAACCGATTGGTTGTCATAGCTTGGAAACCGAATTTTTTTGAAACCGAACAAACCGAACCGATTTGTCGGTTTAAACCGAATGCCCAGGCTGAGCCATTACTGGTGGGAGCACCCAGTTGCCCGAAATGCCCTCACGGGACAGCCAAATTTTTTACTTTTTAGTTTTTTTTAAAAGTTTTTCACAAATAGATCTCCGGAGGAAAGATTTTAGAATCTTACCCCTTAACTCGGCGCCATCGATGCTGGCGCCGAGCTAACACGTCTCGGCGCCAGCGTCCCTGGCGCCGAGCTCCTGGGCTCGAAGCGGACGTGGAAGGTGACATGGCAGGAAGCTCGGCGCCAGTCACCCTAGCGCCGAGCTCGGCGCCGTAGATCTTGATGCCGAGCTCGGTGCCGAGTGTTTATTATGTATGGGCCCGCCCCTCTCTTCTTCTCTTCCTCTCCCTCTCTCGCCCTAGCAGAGCAGAGCCGAGCTCCGCCGCCACCGCCACCGCCGCTGCCCGCGCACGTGCCTCCACCGACCGGCCCTCGCCCGCACGCGCCTCGCCGAGCCCGTGCACGGACGCCCGCGCCGCGCTGCCACCGCGCTCGCGCCGGCCGCCCGCGCCCTGAGGCTGCCGAGCGCCACCAAGGCCGCCCCGCGTCACAAGGGTAAGGGCAAGAGGAGACAGTGAGGGTTGTGGTAGATGTTATTATGCAATATTATAGATTTTGTATTTACTTTTTTGTAATTATTTGGGACTATATGGACATTGTGGACTATTTGGACTGTGCAAGACATCGGCCCCGTTCGGCTGACAGAATTTTGGCTGAAACTGGCTGGAAAACACTGTTCTGGCTGAATTGTTGTGAGAGAAAACACTGTTCCGACTGAAAAAAGAAACCAAACAAGCCGAATATGGGGTAAGCCGAACGGGGCCGTTATGTTGGTTGTGATGTTCGTTGTAATTGCATTTTGCTCCTTGGATGATTAAATGTTTGAAATATATAATGATGTTTCTGTTTATAACTGTGGATGCTCCTAAAACAAGGGAAACTCTTACGAATTTTTTCCGTGAATCATTAATCATACTACACTGCTAAAAAGACATAAATGTAGTACACAGATTAAATGTAAATTTATTAGAACGTGTATAGTCCAATCGTATCGTACATACGCTTTGTAGATGAATCTAGGGTTACCAAGCAACAGTGAACGAATCTAGGATTTTCAGACAATAAAAATAGACTTTTTAGATACAAGGACAACAGCGATTTATCACTTCACTAACATAGTACTGACATATAAGGAAGCGCAACTCCACTATATCTCCACCATCCATCTTATGACTGTTTGATCCAAGGACTGAGGTGAAGAGGCACACTGATCGCTGACATGGCACATTGAGAGGCATCCATTCCTCCTCTCAACCTATAAATAACCCCCCACTCCCTCTCATTTACACACACAAGGAAGAAGAACACTCCTCAACATTTTCTTTCGTTGCAGTACCAATGTCTGGAGGGTCGTCCAGAGGGAGAGGAAAGGGGAAGGGAACTACCATTAGGTGGGAGGGTCCTCTTGGTACTTATTTCTTTGAGGAAGCTCTTTATAAGAGGTTCCTAGTTGAGAGCAAAAATGATTTCACCAAAGAGGCACCACTGAGAGGATACGATGAAAGGAAAGAAGAGTTGCCAAAATACAT